TGAGCCTGTGACGTAGGATCGCGCCACCGTCGTGCGATCCAGCCATGATGACGTCACAGGCCCTGCCGGCCGATCACGTTCGCTGGCAGCGGCGTCGATAAAGGTCAGGTCAGCGGATCGGATTGTCACGTCGGGGTGGTACTGAGCACTGGGCAGTGCCGGGACGGACGGAACCAGCGCGGCGCCCAGGCCAGGCAGACGGCCCTGCCGGGGTGCAGGCGGGTGACAGAAGAGCGCTGTCACGGCGCAGACAGCTGGCAGGCGGGGCTGCCCAGGCCAGAATTAGGCGCCCCTGCACCGGCCGCCGGCCGCGACCGAGACCCATTCACGTGCCGTGGTGCGCGGCGACTTTTGGCAGGCCTCCAGGGTGGACTGTCAGTGACGCGCGTGACGCGGGCGACGCAAAGATCCGCGTGACCGAGCCGCCTCCGCAGTCCGCACCCCGAGCGGATGCGCCACAGCCGCCGCCGGCGCCGCTTCGCAGCTCCGGGCGAATTTAAAGGGACCCTCCCACCTTCAAAAAAGTTAATGAATTGGCATAAAAGTGATGTAGCGTGAATCACAAAGAGCGAAAATGAACATCTACCAAATTTTACCGGAAAATATTCACCCGTTTTCGAGATATAAGACTTTTATTTTTGTTTACTTTTTGGGAAATCCGCTGTTTCTATGACGTCACATAAAGGTTTTCTTTACGTCGGCATTTGGAAGCAATAGTTCGGTATCAAAGTGCGACAAATATTGCGCGAATGATGCGTTTATCTTATCAAGGTCAATATATGATGGCCAATAAAGGATTCCAGGACAATTCTTATGGCATTTCTTCGTATCGCAATTCTTCGTCTGCAAATCTTCGTCAGGGCATTTATTCGTACCTATCGCATTACTTTGTCTCGCACCAGGGTATATGAAAATCGGCTCGCATTTCTTCTTCAACGCAAATATATGCAAGAGTAAGCATTGAGGGACAAATAAATGCACCGACGAAGATTTGTAGACGAAGAAATGCGGACGAAAAATTGTGCTACGAAGAAATGTCATGCGAGGATTCGTTCGGGTACCATAACATTTATGTGATTTCAAAGTCAAGGTTCACAGCTGATCTGCTAAATCAAGCCAAGAATCCAAACTATCAAAAAACTATAAATATTTGTTTGTCTGTCACAGAGGTCTCAAGCAATATAAGGTTGACATATGTTGAATCAAAAATCTACTGCCACAACTCACATCTCCTGCCTTAGTTTATCATTGTTGTTTTAACTTGCTTTCAAGAGAAACAGAAGCCAGTATCTGATATCACTTCAGATGATTGTTTCAAGATCTGAGTTCAAATGGAAATAAAAGCAAGATCAAGATGAAACAGGGATTATTGCTGTTAAAGTAGTTTGGCCATGATACAACAAGCACATAAATCATTAGCCAAATCAAATACTGGTTGGTTTGTCAAGATGTTTGTTGTCTGTCGTCTGTCGAGCTGCTATGAACACTGAACGCTCTCACTCTTACTTTAAAGAGAGTAGTTTAAGTTGAATGGTAGTGAGCTGTAATTAGACAAAGCAGCTATTCAGTGCTCACATCAAGCCAGGCTAGGAAATGGCATCAACTGTGGTGGGAGGAAGCAGGTTCGGCAGCCCTATGTTGTAAACTTCCGTTATGTCTTGTGTTTGATCAACTCATGTTTTCTGCTCTGTTTTGTGCAGTGATAGTAGCAGGTAACTGCATGCTTGTCAAATTATGTGAATAAACGAATTCATAACATTGCATTTTTCTCTCCATGCAAGGAACAAGTAAGATGTTGTAGAAAATGTAATAGAGGGCTGCATTGCTGATTTTGCACTTTATCAGAGCTTTATTTAGAATTGCTTTCCTGAAAGCTACACACAGGCCACAGTGCTGAAATTCACAATGTCATAGCTTTTGGCAGAAAAAAGAAAAGACTTACCTAGGTAAAATTGGCTGAAAGTATGGCAGAGCAGGTCTTGATGCGTATGCCCATCCGTGTGCTTGCCGAAGCCGAACTGACTGCAACACATTTAACTCTGACCCACCATGGTGGCTGGCATATCCTGAACTTTCACCACTCTAAACAAGACAACTTTCAGCCCTCAGCATTGTATTAAAACACTGCACAAAACACTCAAAATTTGTTTCAGTGCCATCCACGGACAACATCAGTCGCCATTCACCAGGCCAGTAAAAACAGAATAGATAATAGCTTCAAACCCATGTAGTCAGAGTTACTAGGTCTGCACCTCAAAACAAAATCCAGGTGACATTCACCACGCCAGTAAAAAACAGGTACTTAGGTAACGTAACAGCTTCAAATCTGGTAACATGTTGGTCGGACTTTACACTACCATATTTACATGGAATAATATGATACCAAACAATAGTGCAACCATTCTGGACAACAAAATTGTATGATAAAATTAATTTAGAATACTCTGGCAGCATGATTTACGAGCACAGGCAGGTGTTACCTACCAGCCTTCTCAATGCTCGTAAAACCAACATTGTAGTTTTGATTTTACCTTACATGATAACACACTTGGCTGCAATGGCACATTTAATTTAATACTGTGAAAAGTCCAGTTATAACCACTTCACAAGCACAATTGCACCTCATGCCGACATCCTTTTCCAAAGACAGTCAGCAGCGTCTTTCGTCAAAACTGGAAGATCAATCCCCTTTCAACTGTTAACATCAAAAATATTTCTTCATGGTGTGATCTCCTATGGAAACCTTGCGGGAAAAGAATTAATGTCAATTGTCAGCTCTTCAAATTTCTTTGGACTTTAACTTGCAGTACCATATCCAGTTTGCTTTGATATTTTGTTTTTTATTCCATGTTGAAGTTGAACACCAAGCTCCAGATATAGCAGGCAGCTTGATCATCTTCGGCCTTGGTATAATATCAGTCCAAGTTCCAGTGGTGGGTATCTTCTAATATTCAAATTAAAATGAAAAGCAATAGGCTTTCTCATCGCCGACGACGGATTTCACGTTGATAAGAAAGGGAGCTCAAGGTCAGCAAAACTCGGGTTCAAGGAATGGCGGGCGTTGAAATGACTGCTGACGTCATCAAAAAACCGCTAATGGTTAAGAGATAGGGACTAAGCTGGTCCCACCCTGCAAGTAAAGGGAAGAAATTTCTTGAACACCATAAAGCTGCGGGGGTTGCGACCAGGATAAATGGTGGTTTCTGAGCCTGGCCGCAAACTTGGCTATCTCAACTCAAAACTAATGTTAAGGTGGGATGGTCCCTTTAACGCGCAGCTGAGGACGTTTGTTCTCAGGATTGGAATCATCATCCTATCAGTGACCGAATGGGTGCCGACTGGGACGACGGAAAGCCCTCCGACGTCGGCGAGAGCTCCGTCAGACAGCGCCGTCAGCCCGCTCGACATAAAAGGGCGCAGTCGCCGGCCAAGTTGGGAAAACTGGCGCCGCTCAGTCCGTCTCGGGGATCGTATCGGAGTCGGCGGCCGAGCTGGCTCAGCACGTCGGCAGGGGTTCGGGGCGCCGGCGGACGGCCTGTCGCCGGTTCTGTCCCAGCTCTGTGCTGCCGCCCACAGACTCCCGACCGTGGCCCACTGGCCCACAGCGGCGCCGGCCAGGAAACACGTGCCAGCCGAGCACCAGAGTCCCATAAAAACAGACACCTGATTGACGCCGGCCCATTCAAACTTGAGCCCGGCACCCCGGATGACGGGACGAAACAGCTCATCCACTTCAGTTGGGGATCAGTGCCGCCGACGCAGCTCTTAAAAACAAGTGGATCCACTTTAAAACTAGCCAGCCATAAGAGATGGCTGCTGCTTGAAAATCAAACAGCGAGTGTCTCATTAAAGAAGCAATATAGCCTCAAACTTCGGGATCATCAAACGAGCGCAGTGTTATTTCTACCAGACAGTGACCCATATTATACCTCTCGAACGCTAACCAGAATCAATTACGTTCTCGATCGCTCGCATCAGAGACAAATGAGCATCGGTTTCCTTTCGGAAGCAAATAAAAGTCCCCGCGAGACATCTCTTTCCTATTGATGAAAATAATTTGCTTGCATTGAATTCCCGCCAACCCACATGCGCCATACCTACGCCAATGTAAGGCCTTACGGAATACAAATAACTACTTATACCCTGGCACTAGAAGCGATCCCCCGTGACCACAACCCGTGACGGTTTCATCCATTCCGTTCCATCCATTCCGTTCCGTTGTGCGTCGTGACGCGTCGCGTTCGAGCGCTGCACGACAAACGGAAGTCAATGACCGCTGACCACCACCACTGCTGCGGGCCCGTGACCGGCCGGTTTTCTGCCACCGTCGGAATACCGCTCAGAGCGGAGTGGCTCTGCTGAGGCTGACCGCAGAGAACGGTATTCGAAACGGCCGTCGGCGCCTCTGCCGGCCAGTGCAGCGATCGGAAAACGGGTGGTCCAACTGCTGCGCGTATCTACGAGTGGTGGTGGTGGGGGGGGGGGGGGGGGAATAAGGAAAGGAATGCATCAACCATCTCACTAATGCCTGACGAGATAGTGAATAAGAAAAGGAATCCAGCAGCGGATCACAATACCTTCCTGACGGATATCGAGTTATGGATGATCGGACGAATAGACTGGAATATATCAGTCTGGTCATCACGAATGACGGATGTGGGTCCATCCATTCACCGATGATGAATATACCATTACCGAGGTGGAACAGAGGTGAAAATGGATATTGGATAATCCATGCGCCCTTGAAATGGCGAACGGAAACAGGCAATCTGTATAAATTCGCTACCGAAGCAGTAAGCTTTGCGAGGCTGAAGAAAGGCACAGTAGGCCTCTCGCCACTTCACGGCTGCGTATTTGGGATCCTCCCGCAGTATCCACTACCTACACATTAGCCATGTGTGACCTTGTCAATGGAATAACTCGGATAGCGACATTTCAGCTCATTGTGCCGTTCCCGGCCGGCGGCGTTCTCGGTATATCCGGGAAGCCTCCTTCCTTACCTCCACAGTGGGCCTTATCCTCGTCAGAGCCGTCCAGACAGTCGTTCTCGCCGTCACACACCCATGAGCTGGGAATACAGCGCTTGTTGGCGCAGGCGAACTGAATGGACGAGCAGACCGCTGCCTGACCTGCGGACAGACACAGACGTTAGTCAGCAGACGATAATGGTGACCCGGACGGCAGAGGCAGGCTCGTTAGCACACACGACTCATCAGCGTTTACACACGCGGTTCGTGTCGAGTCATCATCATCAGCGTGATGTCATGTGACGTCAGAGATGTGACGTCATCAATTTCACGTTACAAAAAGCTTGTGTTATCAGTGAGTGAGGATCGAATGCAATCAGCCAATGCACGCGTCGTCGTCGGTCGGGTGTGAGGGTGAGTGGGGGGAGGGGGTGAAGGGAGGGGGCGGAGGCGGGGGGACATGATAATGTCATCAGCACAGGAATGGGAGTGGCGCCATCAGGAATACGGCCGTCAGCGGCCGCGACGCGCCGGCGAGAGAAAATACGGGCCGTCGCAGACCTATATGAGAGACGTACGGTAAAAGATACGTTACACGGGTCGAACCGCATAAGAACGCGCCCAAAGCAGCGCCCGAAAAAGAGGCGTTCAATAGATCGAGGATCGAGTGAATTCTAGACAATCAGCCGTGCTTCGGACAATTTTCAGCGGTGAAATTATAAAATCAAACTGAAAACTGCTGCCAATGCATGAGTTTTGATTGTAATATAGCGCTCAGTTAAATCTTTCTTGGAGACAGGTATAGAAATACGGCGAATGGTATCGCGACTCGCAGCGCCGGAGCATCCTGCTGTTCGAAACCGCTTCGTGTATGTAAATTTTCACCGAGCCACGCCAGGGTGTGGTTTGCCGTATACTCGTGCCATACTTGCAGTTCTGTGTCGTCTCAAAACTGCTGGGACGTCTGAAAAAAAAACGGTGGCGTCGTGGACCCGTGGTCGTGTCTGCTATTACAAACATAGAGACGGTATCATATTTCCGTCAACCCCTCCTTGACGTCACGAAGGTTCGTGGCTCGGACACGGAATATCGTGCGACCTCGTGACTCGAGATATCATCCGTGTCCTGTCTGTGGCGACGTGTGGTGAGAGGGGAGCGGGGTCGGGGGCGCGGTCGGGCGGGCTGGCACCGCGGTCCCACCCGGCAGCCGCCCGCAGTGTTGTGTTTATTTCTGTCCTGCGATCGACGTCAGTGGGTGGGGCCAGCTCCGTCGGCCGTCGCTGACCGTCGAAGCCGCCTGCCTTTTTATTTAGCCGTCCGCCAGCGGTCGCCGACGGGCCGGCCCGAGAGAGTGACGGCGGCAGGGGAGGGGAGGGAGAGCGGGGGGCGAGCGCCGCAGGCCGCGTCGGGGGAGGGCGCGGCCGCGGCGGGAGAGCGAGAGGCCGCCAGCCAAGGCCGATTTCGCTCGTCAAAGTTTACTGCAGCCGTGCACGCCACTGGCAATGGTCCGCGCCCTCGTGGCGGCTTGATCCAAGAGTTGGTCCCAGAATAGCCGCCGTCGTCTCACGCCATTAACTTGGTCAGATAGTCGTGAATCCAGGGCAACTAAGCCAGCGCGCAGTCCATGAGCTATCTCATATCGAGAAATGACTCATCGCTGATATGGTCATTAGCAGAATCTCCAATCAAATGCGTCGCGACGGTAGCTCGTCCTCCGGCAAATTAGGCATGCATGTCGGAGACAGCAGAGGATCACTCAGAAGCCGGAGAAGATTTGCAGGCGTGGAAGGGGACTCGGCATGTCCTGTCTCACTTATTATTTTCTTAAATTTAAAAAGGTCACCCCGAGGTCGGCGGGCCGGGATCCCAGCCGTCCTCGAGCCGTGCCATGGCAGATCTGTCGCCGCCGCTGCTTCTTTCACCCCGCTGTCACTGTCAGCTCGTTGGCTCAGCGCCGAGCCCGGAGCTCCAGCCGGCAGCTGCAGCCTTCTCTGACCCGGCCGGCCTGGCTCCCGCCTCCCGGTGACAGGCAGTTCCGACACGTCGAACCCGACCCTTCCGACACATCAACCCGGCTACCGGAGACGCGACAGCCCAACAATGGCTGTTCGTCTTCGAGACAGTAGAGTTGAGCCTGGCTGTCCCCGTCGCGAGGTCGCCCGCTCGCTTCTGCTCGCTGTGGCATCGCGGTGGTCTGCTCTGCCTCATTTGAGACGACTCAGCAGCGATGAGAGACGGGTCATGGCGTCACCCCGCCAGACGACATACGCTGCAGACTGTAAACACTGCCGTAGAGCGGTGACCGCGCCAGTCGCAAGGCCGGCCGTCGAGCTGGCGCCTCTCGCCGTGCAGAAAACCGCGAGTCGTGCCGCGCGGCCAGCCGGCCCCGCCCACGGCAAGACACGTGGAGCCCCACCTGGTGACGTCATAGATCTGCTGACCGCCCGGGCCTCGCCGTCAGCGGGCCGCCGGCGCCGGGCGGGCCGTTAGCGGCGGGCCGGCTAAAAAAGCAACAGCCGAGACGGAGACGAGTCGCTTGGGGAGCGACGGCGAAGGGGGTCGGAGAGAAGGGGCGAAGCGAGATGGAGCAGGACAAAGACGAGGAATAGGAGAGAGGCACGCACCAGAGCGCAGACCGAATGAGCGAGGGAGGGTCGAGAAAGCGCGGTTATCAGTCCGGTACCATTTGGTGCAACGTTTCCCAAGGAATTTTCATAAAACTGCAAAAAAAAAAATATTTGCAGCTTCATGCATTATGGAACATCGTCGGCAAGTGACAAACAGCCAGTCACAAAAACTAGCACGTGTCTATCGAAGCGGTTGAACGTTGCGGTCAGCTTTCTGTAGAAGGCATGGGGAACGTTCAGTGACGCCAGACGGTGACGACGAGACCGTGAGAGAGAACGTCACGTCGCGCGGTGTCACGCCACGTCACGGAGTGTCACGCCACGTCACGGGGTGCAAACAGCTGGGGCTCGATGACCATCCACAGCTGGGACAAATGGGACAGTGTTTCAGACACTGTTGTAAAAAAGTGATGGTTAGGTGCAGCTCAACTACCGTTTCAAAAGGAAACGGATATTTGCGGTTAAATTTGAATTTTTGAACGGACTATCGACGCCGAGGGTTCATGGATTCGTCCTAAAAATGAGACGTTTCCACTTTCACGACAGCACAGGGCGCCGATTCGACCCCAGCCCGGACCATCACCGATCTTCTTCCTCGAAACGGACCCGCACCGGGGTCGGAGCGCAAATCAGAATAACCGGTTTTCGGTGTCACCAACCGACCTATGCGGCACCTCTCACCGTCGCCACGTGCTGGTGCCGAGTGGCGGACTCACCCTGGGCGGAGTGCAGGTGCAGGGTGATCAGCAGCAGCGCGGCGGCCAGCAGGCGGGTCACGGGCACGGTCATTGTGGGTCGGCGGAGCGGGCGCGGCGGCTGGGCTCCTGCCGGACGGCGCGCACTGACTGGTCGCGGCGGCTGGTCGGCGCTCGGCCACCTGCCCGGCCCCGCCGACCGGCCCAGCGCGGCGCGCGCGCGTTGGCTGACAGTAGTGGCGTGATCGTACGAGGCGGATCAACCAGCTGTGCCCCCAGACGCTGGTATGCCCGCGGATAGGGGTGTGGGCGGGGCCGGAACTGCGCCCCTAGGGTGGGGAAGGGGTCATCGGTGGGCGGGGCAGGATGCGAGCTGAGAATTCCGAACGGGTTCGTCATGAATGAGGAGTTCGATGTCTGGTCTTCTGCAACTCGTGTATCAACTGAGCAGGGAGGTGAACTTGTACTTTCTACGATGCCATTGAAAGTGACTCGGGTGGCCCGGGCGATGACATTAGATAAACTCAGGACTCCATTGATTCAATTTGTGATTGGCATTAGCAGTGAGTTATTTCTTACTGATCCCTTTCGCAGCAAGAACGTAACACAGCTCATAATATTCCTACGCATTACAGGGTTGGGCAGCATAAACATCAAACAGAATTATTTGGTCATGAATTTGGAAACACAGCTCCAAGCAAAATCCCATTAATTGGTCACCGTTTACTTATCCCTCAACCCATTTGACCGCCCTCGGCATCGATGACCTTCTCAAGGCGGGTCCAAAAGCACGCGCATGCACGTGCAACCTCCTGCTTGTCCATAATCGCCCTTCAGCTTCATACCTTGCACTGATGACCGTCTTTACTGATGATTAGTTGTTCATTAACCTTCTACCAAAAGACGCTCCATGTAGGCATATAATTTGATCGGATTTAAATCGGCGGAGTTGAAGGACCGGAAGTTTTTGGTTCATCTCAGCTGGAGGTGCACTATTACAATAACATGACGTCCTCACTGCAGTACCAACATGGACAGAGTCCTCGTATAAGACGTGAGCTGTACCTTCAATGATTCTCTCTTCCGACGGCTTCAGGTGAGTCTGCCAGAGTGCGGATGCATTTACCAGAGGGACTCATTTTATGTGTGTGTGTGTTGGGGTTTAGGGGCGCCTCAACTCGGGAGCTGTGCTCATTTTATCCGGGCTCGATTAAGTATATAGGGTGCAGTGCACCACGTGCACCTACCTTGAAGACCACCCATATGATATGTCAATCACCCCACCAGGATGTTAACTTCGCATGACCGCTGGAATGTTCTCGATACAATTCCCTATATGGTATGCAGATTGCAGAGCTTCTTCCTGGTATTCAAGCGAGTCATCTGTATGTCCTCTGCTACGAGCTATTTTACGAGGATTAAAGGGACTATCCCACCTTCTAAAATGTTGTTAAAACCAGTTAAATTGTGCCCGACTTTATAGATTGGATGACCAGGAACACGGTTCTGGCATTTATTTTTCAATAAACATCTTAGGCTTCCCATATTCCAAACACAAACTTTCAAATATGTGACGTTACAGCCCAAAATTACCTCCTTCCCCAGGCCACATTACTGTAATAAAGCTGATTCTTTTTACTCTGTAGGCACCACAACAAAGTTCAGACCAAGTTTTAAGCGATTTTTCAACGAACAAACCCATTTAAATCAGAATGACTAAACGAGGTGACGTCACACTAACGGTCGCTCCATGTTTAAGATAGGGCCTTGTACAAGACCCATTTTCAAATGAAGGGAACGAATTTCTTCAACATCAAGAGGCCGCGGGGGTTGCAACCTAGATAGATAGTGGTTTCTGAACCTCGCCGCAAACTTGGCTATCTCAACTCAAACCCCATGTTAAAGGTGGGATAGTCCCTTTAAGTTAACCTTTTGTCCTGAGTATTCACACACAACCCTTATCGTCCGTGATAACACGTTGACCTGTCCAGCAGCCCTTACGTGGAATTACAGGGTTTTAAACAAAATCCTCGTTTAACATTAGTGTCTATGGGTATGCGCAAAGCACTTGGAGCACCGCCGAACTATTTTGCTGCTCTTTTCCAGGAGGTTGCACGCTCATGGATGATAGTCATGTCATATGATGCACAACTTTTGGACGTTTCGTTGCCATGATATAATTTATCAAAATACTGCCATGCATATTGCATAATGCATAATGCATATATAGGATACTCATGATCAGAGCTCAAAAAACATTCCCGATTATGCTGCCCCACCTTATGACATTTTGTTTACTTTGCTTGTTGACTTGCGTATTATCACTATGTAGTATATATATTTTCACTTATTTATATACCTAGATATCTAAAGATATTACAAATTTATACGAATTGGGGAAGACGGGGAACGCCATGCATCGGGTAATATCGCCCACCCTTATACTTTTTCGTAAAACAAGCATCCTTGATGATCAGATTACTATGTCATTAAGGTGAGATGGCGCTGATCGGCTGTGCAAGGTAATTTTTGTAATTTTGCGTGTCATTTCCGTGATTTTGCCACGACTCTTTTTCTTATGACTAAACGTCCGTGAAGATAGCGACGTACGTACCTATTCAGCGACGGATTCAGCGTTGGATTCAGAATTCGCTGAAAACACGTATCAGGTCAAGTAGGACACGCTGATTCCAAAAATGGATATAAAACACATTTTTAAGGTCATCTTCAGGGTCAAATTTGAGGTCAAAGGACGGGGTACCGGTTAACATCCCGAATTATGGGCGCAAGAGAACCAAAAGTGGTCATACATGATAGCTCGTCACCGTGGGCCGCCTCCGTGACCATGACCTTGACCTTGACCTTTGACCTTCAAGGTCAAATTTAAGGTCAAACGACGGGGTACCGGATAACGTCTCGAATTTATGGAAGGCGCGGGCTAAAAACGGTTCCAAACGACGGCCAGCCTCGTTGGCTAGTCTCCGCTACCCTGACCTTGGATCTAGCCCTTGACCTTCAGGGTCAAGTACCAGGTCAAAGATAGGCACCATTTCCCAAAGAAAGAGTAGGGCGAAATGTGAAAAAGTTGATCTGCCTCGTCTCAAACAACCATGCCAAAATCCAAGCAAATGCAAAGTCCTGACCCTGACCCTAAGGCGTAAACCAGTGTTGGGAGTTTACACGATAGGAGGCGTATCGTTGGAGCGTGTTAAAGTTATGCGAGATCTGGGCGTTCTTCTGGACCAAAGGCTTACGTTTGGAGATCATGTTGAGCACACCGTACGCAAAGCTAACAGAGCGTTAGGTCTACTTATGCGGACATTTGCGACGGGAAAACGAGGACGCTCGCTTGACATCAGTGTTCGCCACGGGCCCCAAAATCCCCAGCCCAGCCCGGCCCGGGCCCATGGGTTCAGAGCCCGGCCCAGCCCGTAGCCCGCTCTTGGCAAATATTCCAAGACCAGCCCGGCCCGGCCCGTCAAAAATAGCAATCTAGTTATTGTCTTAGTCTATGGCTATAATAAGCATGATTGATTACACTATTTTGAGAACAATTCAAATTGCATGAATATTAACATGGCAATCATGACTCCCTTCTTTTCAATGAATATAATCATTTCAAGCACCTATGACACAAATTTTAACAGTAACAGCAAGCACCTCAGTCAATTAGGTCATGATTACACACCTATAAAAAGTTTACATGATTATATTAACTACATTCTATGAGTAAAGTTATCTTGCAAGCTGATGTGTGTGAACATTATCATTAATAATTGGTGACTCTAATGCATACTTGAAGGAAGTATTTGCAACATACTCTATACTTCCCAGCACTTACCAGCAGAAAAAAGCTTGACTTATGGGAATTGATGAATCTGTCTGGGATTGACCTTGCTGTTAAATTCACTCCATAGATGCTGCAATATCAAAAGCCTGAGAAAGCATACAAAATAGGTGACACTAACTTTAGCACTGTCTTCCAAAAAAAGAGAAAATCCATCCATTTATCAGCAAAACTGATTTAATCTATTTTCAATTCATGCCCACGTGTCAACCGAATCTCTGTGGACAACTATCTGCTACTTTCCTTGCTATTTTATGTTAGGCTCTTTTCAAGATATGGATATCGCTAGCAGCGTAAGCAGAAAACATGGTAGGGGAGAGCGGGGCCAGTTGAAACACGGGGTCAGATGAAACATGGCTTTATTTTCAACAGTATGCAACATATGGCGTTGCCGACACCACTGCGCATCCGCGCTCGACCACTTCCTTTGTCAACGGCGTTTGGGCGGCAAACGGACGGTAATTTTGATTTGACACCTGTTTTTGTGTTTTTGAGGGGCGTTTGGGAGAAATAATTCTTATGAATATTTTGTGATATCTCATATACCTTTGTTTGCTGAAAGAAGAACTCCTGGCTCCGGAATAACACCTTATTTGGCCCTTCATTCAGCATGATGCCGTCCCTCCAGCTCGTTTGACATGTGCTTTACGGCACGTGCGAGATGGCGGGAGCGGATGGGGTCAATTGAAACGCTTCTCTGAGGGTCAGTTGAAACAGGGCCACAGGCCGTTTCAATGGACCCCGGTGACCTTTGCAATGGTTATTGTTCAGGGGCTGTAAACATTAAAGGAAATAGACCACCTTTGAAATGAGCTTTTAAACTGAAATAGTAGTTTAATAGAGCTCAATTTTGACCCCTTTTTCTCCAGCCTTTTGCTCGAAAGCACACTATAGCCTGAGATATTTCTCCTTTTTTTCATCCGCCCATTTTACCATAGTCTATGTACTTTATGTCACCTATTATGAGGAACTTTGCACTTTTAGCTTTCCAACGACCTAATGAATGTAGCATTTGGAAAAGTAAACCGGACAAAATATCTCCTTAAGAAAGTGGCCTTAAAGAGGAAAACATCCCATTGTTAAAGATAGGTGCAATTGACCCCATGGGCTGGTTCAATTGACCCTCGCATCGGGGTCATTTGAAACGGGCGTAGAGCTGTTTTATTAGCATGCGTTTGGCAGCAAAATATGTTTGAAACATAATTTTACATATCTTAAAATAAAGCCAAAAGAGCACATTTTTTCATGGCATTGTGCATTTTTCGATATGACAACTAGATCTCGCTGTGCATGTCAATATATAAAAAGTGGTTCAACTGGCCCCGCTCTCCCCTAAGCTTGAAATGTCATTGGGTACTTTTGCGACTTGTACGCATCATCATCATCAATCGAAAATGAGCGAACACTTCTTGATTGTCGCAGCTGCGGCAGGTA